GGCACCCGGGCCCGCCCGCCGAAGCCCCGCCCCGCACACAGGCACCGCCCCATACAGACTCCGCCCCACGTGCAGGCCCCGCCCCCCGGCTCGGAGGCAGCCCTTAGCGCCCCCTAGTGCGAGCGGCTCCCTCGGTGGGGGCCGGAGCTGGTAAAGATGATGGAGCGCGCGCGGGCGGGAGGCCTCAACACAGAGGACTCAGCCCATTTTACAGATGGGGACTGCGGAGGCCCAGAGGATACGCTCCACTACCTCGAAATGGCACAGCTCATGAGGAGCTGAGCTGGGTCGGGAACCCTCCTGGAATCAAGAATAGGAATATGGAGAAAATAGGTCTCCATTAACTAGCTTTGGGGGAGGGGGGTTAAGCTTGGACTTTCTTTAGAAGCTTCCAGCTCAGAGAAGCCACTCCTCTGCTCCACTATGGATAAACAGACACTCCGTAGATAACGGGGGTGGGTGCAACCACGACTCCAGGGTCAGCTCCTTAGCCAGACCAAGGAAGGTTATAAATGAACTCAGCACATCCCATCTTCCCAGTTTTTCAAGACAAACCAAAAATCCAGATGTTTAGGTGAAATTTTCCACTTTTTAAAATGTTGGGGACATTAAAGTTCTGAAAATGCCATGTAGGCCAAAGTAAACACACCTGCCTACTGGACTCGTCCTGCAGGCTCCTCTTTATGGAGGAGAGAGCACTGGACCAGGAGTTAGGACAGCAGACTGGCTTCTGGCAGCTGCTAGCTGGCTGAGGGGCCTTGAGAAGCACTGAGCCCCGCTACTAACCAACTTGGTAACTATTAGGTCACAGTGGAGGGGAGAAAAGAGCTCCACTCTGAGGGATGACCTGTAGCTCTGGTGTGCTGGGAAGCTTGAGGCTGGGCAGGGTTTGTGACCTCACCATCTTCCATCTCCCATTCTGCTACCGAGGAATTCCGGAATTCCGTGGAGCAGCACACCCTGCTGGGCAGGCCGCCTGCCCTATCACAGCATGCAGGAAGCTGCTGACAGTAACGTCTGTCCTCCGGCTCTGATGGGCCACAGCTAAGCTCCATGTGGCAGCCTGCGAGCTTCGGAATTCCACATACTTGTCGGGGTCAGTGCTGCCTGTCAGACCGGTCACCCCTTGGGCAGGGCTATGGATGAGGCCAGGCCGCCAGCCTACTCCTTGATGGCTGTTTGAAGACTTTGTCTTCAGGGTGACATTCCCAAGGACACACAGGTGCTTTCAAGGGGCCAGGCCAGTGTGACTCCTCCCTAACCCGTCCCCCTGACCCCATGACACGGATAAGAAGCCCACAGCTCACAGTAATGTAAAACCATTTAATTCTAAATCAAATCACTTTCACAACAGTGAAAATTAGCAACTGGTCAAGGTGTGCCGCTGTACATGGTATCATTTTCTGTCTGTGGTTGGGAGCTGGTCCTGATCCGCAAAGGCGGCAGGAGTAGGAGTAGAGACTAAGAACATAGGAAACACACACAAAAGGAGGGAAAACTGCCTTGGGTGGGGGTGGGGGGGTCTGTGAGCCTGCAGAGGGGCTGTGGGAGGGGGCTCCCTGTCAGGGCTGGGCCAGCAGTCCCAAATCGGCTCTCCTGCCCCAGCCCCTGGCAGAGCATGAGTGGGGACCTATAAGATGAAAAATCAAAGGGCAGGTAGCCAGCCTGGCTTTGCTAACAGGCTCCTGGGACACCTTTGCTGGTAGAGCTTTCCTGACTCACTCCGTTTCATTAGAGTCCAAGTGATTCATCTTCCTACCCACATCCCTTCCTTAACCTTTCTTCTGGAAACCCATTTTCTGTTGGGCCCAGTAGACTGACGTCCTCTCCCCCACCACTAGGTGGAGGCACTGCACTGAGGGATCCCACCGGCCTTCTCCAGCTGAGATACTCCAGGGGCACCTTCCACTTTGGGGATTTCTAGGTGATAAAAAGAGCACGATTGAGCGGGTGCCCCCAAGGTATTTAAAGTCCATGAGGCACACTGTAAAGCTGGTGGCTTATTCTTATCAAATGGATTCAGCAAATGAACCACTTATTCAATACTTATATTTTGTCTTTTAACACTGAACTCTGGCATTGACAGGTTATAAGGAGAAAGGGATGGGGGCTAGGGAGATGGAAAGAGGGCTTCCCATCTTGGATAAGGTCCTGGTTTCCATATGCTATGCAGAGCCACATCTGGGAAAGAAAAACAAACCATTAGGTGGGGCTTTCTACCCTCTGTTGGCTATTGCTGGAGGTAAGCCAGGAGCACTGTGGCCCGGTGACGCGACAGAGGCTCCCGAGGAAGGCCATCTCCTCCCAGCCTTGGGGTCTCTGGAACAGACTGGATTTCTAGGAAGAGGCCTGACAGACTATTCCACCACCAAGTGAACCGTCTTCTTGCCTGGACCACACTCCCTCCATCAGATTCGGACAAAGAAGCTTGTGAAGTTGAAACACAAATCAAGGGCTTGGGCACCATGATTTCCACAGAAAGGCCACCCCATGTGTCACCGTCTGAGGCCCCCAGGCCCCTGCCCGACTGGAACAAATCACCAGGTTGCCTGCTCTGGAGGCACAGGCTTCCGGGTTTTAGCACATGTTCAAGGAGGTGTCCACAATCCGTATCAAATTAGGGGCTTCCCCCTTTGCTGCCTCTTCATTAAGGACAATTTGGCGGATGGTCTTCAACATGCAGCGGGGCTGACTTGACAAACCCCGTTTCCTTTGGGCAGGTCTGCGAGGAGATGCACGCGGAACTTCTGTGGCCTTGGGGACGGGGCTGCTGTGCGGCTGTTCCTGCATCGGAGCTCTGAATCCCTCTGCAGTCCCAACTGCAGGTCTTTCCTCATGCACAGCAGCAATGGAGGCTGTGCCCTCTGGCAGAAAGGAACATGTGTGTGGTTTGGGGGCGAAAGGTGATGAGAAATCTGTGAGTGGAGACACGTCTCCCAGGATGATCTATGCCAAAAAAACAAGGTCATTCAAGCTGCTCTCGGGCCAAAGACGCTGAGGATGGCCAGAGCCAATAAAAGATCGTTGGGTCTCTGGTGAGTTCATGATGCGCCTCCAGCTTCAGCTGCTGCAATTAGGATCTTTATAGGACAGCAATTTCTGGCACCTCTGCCGAGGAGGGAATAGGGCAGAGCAGCATTGAGATCTGGCAGCGGAACCTCTCTGTATGAGGACCCCCACTGACCTCAGAGGCCACTTACCAAGGGGTATCTAATGAGATGAGAGGAAGTTTCCACAATTAACATTTAGTTCATCCCTTTGTTCTTATAACATTAAACGCAGGTGAAGTTGCACCAACAGTTTCTCTCTTCTGCCTCTTCCCGGTGCAGAGTCAGGAGCTACCGAGCTGGCTGGAACAGGATTTCATGTTGTAACCCAGGAGAGACGACGCAGTGCCAAGGCCTGAGGGTTTATGGCAGTGGCCACACTCCAGGGTTCTGGACAACAGTCTTGAGTCCTAAAGCTCTGGTGGAGAAGCAAGATTCCTTGATGTGTTACGGACCCCACTGATTCCAGGGCTCGGGATTATCCAGGAAGCCAAACATCAAGAGTGGGGGTGGTGTGGCACCAGTCCAGGGGCCCTGCCATGGATGTAGGCCGGGAGCCCAGCATTAGGCAATTAGGAGCCAGAACATGATCACCAGGGCCACAAACAGGAAGAGGCGTGACAGGAACTGCTCATCCACGTACTGGGGCGTCCCGGGGACAGCTGGAGACAGGAGGGAGAAGAGAGGTGTTAGCGTGCTGCAGCCGTGCACATGCCCACTTGGGACCGAAGTCGAGAAGCATCAACCTTCATCTCTTTACAGAATCCTGCACACTAAAAACATTTCCAAACCCCAAATAACATCAGGCAAAACAAAACTGGAATTGTGAAAATATGTGGAATAATATAACAATGAGGACAAGATCTCCAACGTATCCTCAGAGGGTTTGGCCTATAGGTGCAAGTAAGTGGGGAAACTCTTAGAGGGAATGATGAAAGGAAAGCTACGTTTGTTAAGCACCTTCTGTGTGCACAGTGTTTGCACACACACTATTGCTTGGTGAGTACTATTTCATTTTCTGTAGGAAGAAATCAAAGTTGGTGGTGAACACACAGTACACTATGCAGATGGTGTATTACAGAACTGGAGAGCTGAAACCTATATAATTTTATTAACCAATGTCACCCCAATAAATTCAATTAAAAAAAGGAACCGAAGAAATTAAGTAAAATGTAAATTATTTTTAATCCAGGAAGATAGAAGCAAGCAATTGTTTTTATCATACCCTCCCGGAGGGTCTCAGAGAGCCCGGCGTGGAGTGCCTTCCTTTTCCAGAGGAGGGCGCTAGGGCCCAGACAGGCAAAATGACCGGTTTCCCTCACCGCCCAGCAAACTAGGGTAGAAGTGGGCTGAGAACTTGGGCTGTGAGAAAGCTGCTATGTATAGCTCCCCTGTCCTATTAGAGAAAGAGAGTTAAGAACACCTCCACCCCAATGAGCAAGCGGTATCATAAGAGAAAACTGTGTGCTTGTGGCAGGAGGATCCAGAGATCCAGAGGGCAGCCTGTTTTCCTGGGGAACGCGAGGTGAACCTTGGACCAGGGTAGAAGGAAGCGAGCTACCAGGCAGGTTCCTGCTGCCTTCACGGGGCCCTGCCCTTTGGGGCCTCCTTCCTCATGACCTCTTGGTGCTGTACTCTTCTCCAATGAGGTGCTCTGACGGATTCATGCAGGCAGGCAGTCAACAAAGACTCAGTGATCGCCTGCTAGGCACAGGGTGAGGCCAGGGGACACCTGGGATGGCCCAGGAGTGGGTTACTGTCCCTAGAGCATAAGCTCCTGGCCAGGCAGAAGG